TTGACTGCAAAGGAGGGAGATTTCTCTTGATGCATTGCAGAGAGAGATACATTTTCTTCTTCTTTTTCTACGCAGCTGGAGAAGTGTCATCTATAAAAGACGAAGGGCCAGGCACTTACTTGCAGAATTTTTGTTTGTTTTATTCATTTCTTAAAACCTTTGCACCGCTTGATTGTAAAATAAAATTTTAAAACCCCTCAAAGAGGATAAAACAATAACATCAAGGAAAAACAGCAGCTGTGCTTTAAAGTGTACCAAAGTTAAAATACGGAAACACAGATTAAAATTACGCCAACTTCCTAAGCATCTGGGTGGGCTTGTCTGAGCAGGAATGTTTTCAGCAGGTGCCACAAAGAGTACAGTGAAGGCACCTCTTGATCATGAGGCAGGGAGTTCCAAAGTCTAGGCACTGCTGCACTCAACAACCGAGTTCCTGTGGAATGGGTATTATGTGGCACCTCTCGTAGTGCCAATTCCACCGGTTGAAACAGACGAGGGGGAACGTGTCTTAAGGCTACCTCTTAGAGAACCTAGTCCCAAGTTGTAAAGACCTTTTACATTCTGGGAAGCATGGAATTGTAGAGTTGGAAGGGACCCATGGTCATCTAGTCCAACCCCCTGCAATGCAGGAATCTCAGCTAAAGCATCCATGACAGATGGTCACCCAACCGCTGCTTAAAAACCTCCAAGGAAGGAGAGTCCACCACCTCCCAAGGGAGACCATTCCACTGTTGAACAGCTCTTACCGTCAGAAAGCTTTTCTTGATCTTTAGCTTGAATCTCCTTTCTCGTAACTTGAAGCCATGGGTTCGAGTTCTACCCTCTGGAGCAAGAGAAAACAAGCATGCTCCATCTTCCATGTGACAGCCCTTGAGATATTTGAAGATGGCTATCACATCTCCTCTCAGTCTCCTCTTTTCTGGGCTAAACATACCCAGCTCCTTCAACCGTTCCTCATAAGGCTTGGTTTCCAGACCCTTGATTATCTTGGTCGCCCTCCTCTGCACACCTTCCAGCTTCTCAATCCCTATATACAAAAGACGCTTCCGTTGTGTTCCATGCTGTTCTTTTTCTTAAAATAAAAAATAAATAAAAATCCCAGCAGCATGCTTGATATTTTATGTCACAAATTTCCACAGCACTAGTAACGTATGTGGCACTTTTACAGAATAAAGGGAATAATAGAAGCTCCGTCCTCTAAGGAGCTTCCAGTCTGAGGCGTCCTGCTCACTGAGAATTTGCTCGATTTGTATGGTGGACTATCGACACATGTTCTTTGAGCAGCTCATAGAATATAAATGACAAAATGCAATATTAAAATGTGGAACGCAGAGAGGAATTCAACATCATGCTTTTCTGACTGTCCCTCTGGAATAAGCATTTTGACTTGCCTGGTGAGATTATTCCTCCTTCTCTTCCTCCTGTGTGCTTTTTTGGGGGTTCCCAGAGCCAATTTTGGGGGTGCAAAGGGATGAGGCTACTGATTGTAGTGGAACCCAGGAAGGCAAAATCGCCTATCACCTCAAGTGTGTGGTCACCAATGCTGATGCCCAAATGCTGGTGACGTCCTGACTCGGGCTGTTGGCCTTCATCAGGCTGCTGAAAAATTTCCACATCACTTGGGAAGACAGGCAAAGTAATGCCAGTGTACTGGAAGAAGCAAATATCACCCATGTCGAAGCAACAATCCTTCAACGTCAACTTCGTTGGACTGGTCATGTCTTGCGGATGCCTGATTAGCGTCTTCCAAAGCAACTGCTCTATTCCCAATTTAAAAATGGAAAGCGTAATGCTGGTGGTCCACAAAAGAGGTTTAAAGACTCTCTCAAGGCAAATCTAACAAAATGTAGTATAAACACCCACAACTGGGAAACACTGGCCTGCGAGCGCTCCAGTTGGAGAACAGCCTTTGCCAAAGATGGGCTTTGAAGACGCTCAAACTCAGGACAAAGGGGAGAAACATGCTAAGAGGAAGGCACACTTGGCAAACCCTCACCGTGATCAACTCCCACCCGGGAACCAATATCCCCACTGTGGAAGGACGTGTGGATCCAGAATTGGCCTCCACAGTCACTTATGGACTCACTGTTAAAACTGTTTATGGAAGACAATCTTACTCGGCTACGAGTGATCGCCAAAGAAGAAGAAGGAAAGGCCAGACTCCCTGCAAACTTGGGCAAATTGGTTGTTGACTCTCTATACAACATTTGGAAAAATAGGGAGCTTCCTTGTACCGAGTCAGACCGTTGGACCTGCTAGGCCCACATTGTCTGCAGACTGAGGTCTTCAGGCAGGGGACATTCTCAGCCCTACCTGGGAATACCTGCCACTGAGCTACAGCCTTCTGGAAGACTGCAAGTTCCCTGTCCCTGACTCACATGATCTGATACTTCGCTGTACAATTTCCCCCCTGCTCATGAAAACCAGTACCTCAGGAAGGACTCTAGCTTCAGCACCCCCTGGCACACTAGCTTTCTATGTGTGAGGAATTTAAATTATGTATGGAAGAGCAGGTTAGTGGAGAGCTTTTGTCCCTGACAGGCTAATTTTCTACATGCAGGGATATCGCTTCGTACGAAGGTGTATTCAGTCATGGGCTTACTCTGAGCAAACGGAGCGCACTTCGTTTCGGTCTGAGTTGAGGAATATGGCACCTCTTTTTAGAGAGAGGAGGATTGCGAGAATCAATTCCTCACACACAGGGCCTCTGTGTGTGTTTGAACAGGCTCTCAGTATAATCTCTGTTTCTGGTATTATTGCTAAAGGCAACAGCTGATGAATGAGACCCCATAATAAAAGCCTTTGCGGGGGGGAAATCTTGCCTTCTGTTCCTTTTGAATAGGTTTCAGGGGCCGATCAAACAGGTTTGTCAGGAGACACAAGTATTTTATTTGAATGCTCTAGCTGTCTTTGTAGGGCGAAACTCACCGTGGAAGCTGAGGGCAGACTTTTCTGAGTTACAACTTGAGTCAAAGCAAAATAAGGCGGAGGGGGAAAAGTTCACAGCCTCTTTTTGTCCAGGGCTGGAAGCATGTTGCAAATTCCTAATTAAACAGTTCAGGAGAAGCAGCAAAACTTAAGCAACTAGACAATCGGGTGCCTCCATTTTTCCAGACTTAAAGCTGGGGACAGGGGGGAATTGGATTTAGTTCTCACTGAAAGGCAAACCTCCTTGACTGCAGCAGTTTTCACTGACATTGGGCCCCCAGCCCCCCAGTTTGAATCAAGATGGCGGACCGAAATCTCACTTTGGCATGACTCGAACTCGTTGCTTCTCGAGATATTGTCACCAAACTTGGCATGAGTGACCCAGAGGTGGATGTTTGGGCGCCAGGTTCCATTTCAAATCAAGATAGCTGACCAAAACATGATTTTGCTGTGACTTCGCTTGATATTTTTGGCACGGAACTCTGAAATTACACCCTCCGCTTAAAAATCACAATATATTTTGGGTTTCCAAAATTCCTCACCGTCGGCAGGCACTCCCCACTTAGTGTATTATATCAGGGGGAACTGCATTACAGAAGTTGTTTATTAGGAAGAATTGCATATAAACTTGCTTATATTGGGAGAAACCCAGAGATGAATTTTCATTAGGACTTTGAACAAATAAAATTTGCAAACTAACCTGGAACATCGATAAACTGAGGAAAGCAAAAATGGACACATTTAACCAGCCCTGCTTCTAGCTCAAAGGTCCAAAGGTCCGTATAGTTAAAGCTATGGTTTTTCCGGTAATGATGTATGGAAGTGAGAGCTGGACCATAAAGAGGGCTGATCGCCGAAGAATTGATGTTTTTGAATTATGGTGCTGGAGGAGACTCTTGAGAGTCCCATGGACTGCAAGAAGATCAAACCTATCCATTTTGAAGGAAATCAGTCCTGAGTGCTCGCTAGAAGGACAGATCCTGAAGCTGAGGCTCCAGTACTTTGGCCACCTCATGAGAAGAGAAGACTCCCTGGAAAAGACCCTGATGTTGGGAAAGATGGAGGGCACAAGGAGAAGGGGACGACAGAGGACGAGATGGTGGGACAGTGTTCTCGAAGCTACCAGCATGAGTTTGACCAAACTGCGGGAGGCAGTGGAAGACAGGAGTGCCTGGTGTGCTCTGGTCCAGGGGGTCACGAAGAGTCGGACACGACTAAACGACTAAACAACACTACTTCTAACTCTGAAACCTGACAGTCTGCTGCTTTAGCAAGACTCCTTGCAGTCTAGTGCGACCTTTAGCAAGTTTCCTCTGGTGCAAGCAAGGCTCCTTGCAGTCTGGTGAGACCACTTATGCTTCGCCAAAAAAAAGGTAATGCATCTTTGAAAAAAATGCTTGTTCATATTTCACCTGTCTTTGTATTCTAGAAACCTTTATCTCTCTCTCTCTCTCGCAAGGTCACCGCACACCTCCAAGAATCCTGGAGACAGTTGTTTGTTAAAAGGATGCTAGAAGTTGTAGCTCTGTTGGAGGGAAACTACACTTCCCGGGGGGGGGGGGTTTGGGTGGAGACATGCGCTTTAATTGTACGTTGTGGATGTGAGCGCAGTGCAAATGAAAGCTTAGTTTGCCGTCTTTCTCCTCCCCTTCTCATCACAGCAGTGAAGTTTCTTTTGTCGGAAAAAGAAGAAGCCAAGCTTCATTTTCTCACGTCAACCGGTTGTACCTGCTCTACTACTTCACTGAGTGCCTTGTTTGGTTGTCAGTGTGTTGCCCTGTTTTCTCAGTGTAAGGTGTGTGTGTGTGTGTGTGTGTGTGTGTGTGTGTGATGCTTTGAAACCCTCTACTGGTGATGACTAATCTGCAGCCAGTTTCTGTTACGTATGGGAGATGGGCCAATTTAAAAGATCCCTCTGCGTTTCGGTCTTGCAATTCGTTTCTCCTTTGGGTTTTGAAGGGGCATCCTTGGGAGATGGAGGACGCAGAATACATAAAATCATAGAATTGTCGAGTTGGAAGGGACCCTGAGGGTCATCCAGCCCAACCCCCTGCAATGCAGGACTATGCAGCTGTCCCATACAGGGTTCGAACCTGCAACCTTGGCATTATCAGTACCACGCTCTAACCAGCTGAGCTATCCAGGCATGCAGGTTCGATCCCTGGCTTTTCTGATTAAAAGGATCAGGGAGCAGGTGGTGTGAACGCAGGAAAAGGACTTGTGCCAGCCTGCCAACCTCGTGACCCTCCAGATACAACAACAAGAACAACAACAACAACAACAACAACAACAGGCACCCTGGGGTGCCTTGAATGCGGCCAACACTGGCCTCTGTCCCTCTTTTCTTCTCTGATGTCCGCTTGCTTCTCTGACTCCCAAAGGCTTGCACAGCTGTTTTTTTTATTAAATAAATTTTATTAGTATTTTCCACACAACAACAACACGAAAAATATCGAAAAATAACAATACACAACACACAAAAACCAACATTAGAAAAACTAAAAAAGCAACAACAACTAAAAAACCCCAAAACAAATCCATATCTTACAAGTTAATAATATAAACACTAAAACAACAACAACAAAAAAACATTGACTTCCACCACTCCCACAGCACTTCCTTTATCTCTCATTGTGTCTTCCTGTTTTCCTGTTTTCCTTATCATCTCTATCCTAACATCTAGATATAAATCCCTCTTTCTTATCCTTTCACTTCACAAGGTTATTCCAGGCTCAGCCAGATTTCTGTCCTTGAACCTTGACTTTTGAGGTATTCCTTTAGGCACTCCCATTCTTTTTTTACTTCACTTTTTGGTTTTTGTCTTATTATGTCTGTCAATTTGGCTAATTCTAAGTATTCTTGCACAGCCGTTTGTTGCAGCAGCCCTGGCTACAAGCTCTCCAGGTGAATGGTGCCTCTGGGGCTGGCCAGGGGGTGTTGGTTGCCAGGAGCTGAGGCGGCCGTGGAGTAAGCAAGCAAGCAAGCAGGCGAGGGAGCCTAGCCAGCCAGTCTGCCAGCCCTTGCTGTTGGGAATGGACAGACAAGTCCCAGGCCCCTGTGGGGCAGTGTGAGGAGGCACCTCTCTCTGGGGCAGCTCAGAGACCAGGGGCGGCAGCAGCAGCGGCTGCCCAGAGGACTCCCAAGGAGAGGGGAGAGGAGAAGAGGCTGAGGGAACACTCCACAAGGGAGGGTGTTTGAAAAGGGGTGAGGGGCTGCCAGCTCTACAGGCAAGCGGTGGCATCACTGGGCTCCTGAGCCCCACAGGGGGGCTGCAGAAAGAGTGTACTTGGTCAAGGGACTCAAAAAGGTTGAAAACCTCTGGTTTATTCAATGCTGTACTGACCCAGAGTAGATGCATTGAAATTAATGGGCTGAAGTTAGGACAAAGGAAATATACTTGGAGTCGAGAGTGGATTTCATGCTCTTTATTCAGCTCACGGTGGTGAGGAGGAATGGAAGTTCCCCCAGAATGTCTGCTTTATATACATTATTTACACAATGGGCCCCATGTGATTGGCTAATTCCGGGATTCTCCTGTAGGCCAATCAGGTTGCGGATTCACTTCCACCTGGAGCTGGATTGGGTGGCTCCTGTGGACGAATCAGACTGCTGCATTCTGAATCCTATTGTTCTAGGACCAATCAGACTGCTGCATTCTGGATCCTATTGTTCTAGGACCAATCAGACTGCTGCATTCTGAATCCTATTGTTCTAGGACGAATCAGACTGCTGAATTCTGAATCCTATTGTTCTAGGACCAATCAGACTGCTGCATTCTGAATCCTATTGTTCTAGGACCAATCAGATTGCTGCATTTTGGTTCCTATTCAACTCGGTACATAACAACAAAGGAGCTTCCTCTGTGCAGCTTAGTAGTACAGAGGACATGACTTGTTGTAAGGCGTTGGACTGGGCATTCTGGCAGCAAGGGGCTGGTGTCTTGTTATTTACTGCATTTGTTAAGCATGCTGGGATTCTTGCATTGAAGGGGGTTGGACTATTTGATCCTCAGGGTCCCTTCCAACTCTGTAATTCTGCGATTCTATGAGTGAGAGAGAATTCTGGCCACTTTTGCTCTCACCCTACATGCCACTAGTGTCAGCCCCTGTCCATCACTGATATGCATCCCCCAACAGATCACCCTTGTGGGAGTGTAGTCATCGTCAGAAAAAAAATATGTCCCCAACCCCTGTCTTATAAGTTTGACCTTAAACCATCTCCTGAGACAGCTGAACTTCTGTACAGGAGCTTCAGAAAAATGGCATATTTCCCTCCATGCTAAACTTCAGAGCGAATGGGCAGAGTTGTTTGGGTTGGGTGCTTTTCCTCGTTATTTTTTTTTTTAATTGTGGCTTGTTAAAACGAAACACTTATTTTGGGTCTGCTTGCAAGTCAGGGCATGAGGAAAGGCTGTGGGAAGAAGCTGAGTCATCCCTCCAGAGAACTTTATTTTCAGAATCTTTCAACTGTTGCGAATATTGCATGCAGCGTGAGGCTTATGTTTACATTTATCAGCTGTGATTAAAAAAACAAATTAACCGGGAGCTTTTTATAGATAGCACGCGATGGGGTGACTTGAACTCTACAGATCTCAGCAGAATCGCACTAAAAAGAAAGCTAAAGAAAAATTTCCACAGATTATTGACCTGTATTTTGCTTAAATAACAGCTAAAAACAAATGGAGTCTCTGTAAAGACCTGTGGGAAATAAGCTAATGGTTTTATTTAAAACAGGGGTGAGCAGAAATTGGATTTGCAGGATCCGCTTTTTAAAAAAACCTTGAACCTCAAGTTCCATCAACAGAATCCTGATGTAAGATTTTGGCTGGGAAACAGAACTAATTGCCTATTACTAGTGCTTGGAATGCCCATTTTAAAAAGGAACTAGGTGTAGTTCAAGTTCGTCCTGTTCAAAAATGAATTCGTTCTGGTTCCAGTTAGTTTCTAAAAGTTCAGTCTTGGCACTCTCAACCCCCCTCCCAGCATTCAGATTGTTACAAACTGCTGTGCCAGTTTCAGAAAGTAAATCAGGGACTGCATACAAGTGATACAGTGTATGACAGGCATAATATCAACAGGTGAAGCTTTCACCATAATCATATTTCCATGCTAAAAAAGGGTTAACCTGTTTAATTTGGGCCATCCACACAAGGTGTCATTTGCTTTATTCCTGTGCTTCTTGCGGCTACTCTCTTCCTCAGGGAAGATACAGGAAATGCCTCACATTCCTGCCTTCTGTTGCTTAGCAACAGTGATTTAGTGACTAAGCATCCTTAGCAAAAGTAGCACCTCCCTAGCTGCCTAATAGGTCTTGGAAGGTTGCCTCCACGCTTTACTTTCTAACTTCCTTTATAGATGACTTATTTATTTATTTATTTGCTTGTTTGTTTTGTTTCTTTGTTTGTTTAAAGTGAAAGCTGTGAGTCTGGGGGCCCTGCTGGGGTGCAAGTAAGAGGAAATGATTGTGAAAAAATGACCAGAAATTGTTCAAAAGTGAACCTGATTCTCCTTTAGTTCACCCAGCCAAATTCAGAAATTTTCGAGCTTCAAAGCAGTGCCTATTAGACACCTGCTGTACAGCTATTGCCTATCATTATTCCCTCTGTTTCTAGTGTTCAGGCTGTGAGGAACTGGCTTATGTAGCAAAATAGCACCATCCATGCCCAGGCAGATGGTCATCCAACCTGTGCTTATAAACCTCCAAGGAAGGAGAGTCCATCGCCTCCCGAGGGAGACCATTCCGCTGTTGAACAGCTCTTACTGTCAGAAGGTTCTCCCTGATATTTAGTTGTAATGTATGTTGTGCATGCAGCCTTAGTTACAGACTCTGTTAAGCTAGGTCACTTCCTGAAACATATACATGAACAGAAATACTGCTCTCTGGGGTTTTTAATTTTTTGCTCTTCTCTGAATTTTGTGCTGCGTCTCTCTATGCCAAAATATGTTCGAAAATACCTGTGTCTTTGTGAAAGCGTGCAAAATTCGTGGCAAAAAAAACGTGTACAGGATGCAAAATTGCGTAGAAAAATCTACTTGTTGGGAGAAACGCAGATGATTTCCTCTGGGTCAACTGGGAAACCAGGGAAACTGAAATGGATTGATTTGTCCCACCCTCCAATTAGCACTAAATTTGGTCTGGAAAAACAAAAGCCCTGATCTTAACTGGTGGCAGGGAGCAGAAAGCGACGGGGGGGGGGAACAGTCTTCAAATATTGGAAATAAACCAATAAATTGGGAGTGAGGAGAACCATATGCACCACTCCGAGTGCACCTGGGAAAAAGTAGGGAATGCAATAAATAGATATCTTTCAGCATTATAGTAGGGGACCTTTCCTGCCTTTGGGCAGCTTGCATTCAATAAATTAATTTTAAAATGATAACAACAACAATAATAATTTCTCCTTCTTTTACAGGTGGACCTGGAACCAGAAGGGAAAGTGTTTGTAGCAATAACTCTCTCAGGAAGTTTTACTGAAGGTAAGAGGAATGCCATTCCCCCTTTACCTGCCAGTTATATTTTTAGAGCTTACACATAACACACCATTAGCCTCTAGTTGCTGCAGTCGAGAGTCTCCTGTGGCCACTGAGCAGAACGTAAGGATGTCATAATTGCCAGGGGTTCACATAGCTTAAGCATCCTTGTCGGAATAACAGCAGGAGATACCTGGATGGGAGCAAAGATCTCCTTTAACAAGCTCAAGTTACAGAGTGAGTTTGAAGGGCACATCTGATCCCTGGCGCTGTTTTTTTTTTATTTTAAAGAGGAGATTCAGAAGGGGGGAACTGAAGATGGAAGGTAGATGCGCTAGGAAAGGAGAGGGTGTGTAATCCTTTCAATCCTGCCGTCTCTCGCGCCTTGGGTGGATCTGGGGCCTGGAACAAGTACTCAGCGAGGAAAATTAAGAACAGTTAGGTCTCTTTTTTTTCTTTTATCATTTTTGTCAAGTTTTTTTCCAATATTACATCATAACAAACAACATGATTCACAATTCCAAAATTTCCCCATTCCCTTCAGACTTCCCTCAACCGTCTTCTCTGGTTTATTTCAAAATAATATCATTTCCTGCATATTTCCTTTTTCGCTCCTTTTTTAAAAATATATTTTAACTTATAAATTGTATAATTTTTTGCTGATTGTAAATGATTA